TTCCACTACAGCCTGTGATTGCCACACCTTGGAGAAGGACTGCCACATTTGTCATCATGTCTCTATGTTCTTGGCAAAGTGTTTTCTTTGCCATGATAAGTACTCAGTAAGTGTTCATTTTCTAAACGAATGGCATGTAAGGTTCAACTTTCCATGCTTTTTAGAAACTTTTGGTTTGAGTTTCTTCTTTGAAATAAAAAAGCATGAATGATCTTTTCTTTGATCTAGAAACATAAGTTCAAAATTCCCAGTAAACTTTTTTCTGATCATCTTGTAATTAATTCCATTTTTCTTGAGTGATAAATATATAGCCTACTCTTAGAAATTTGTACATGATAGGTTTTTTTATGAATGGAAATAAGAAGAAGAAAAATTTTTGAATATGAAGTTTTACATTTGTTAATAAATTTAGTTTATTTTTATATTACATTTTAAAATATAATTTTATTTGTTACATACTTATACAAAATTTATCCAATTTGACAGAGGTGTGTTAATATTATTGTAAATGTACTATAATTGTATATGAATTATCTAACAAATAATATATAGATTGCCAAGCCTTCAAATGCATACCTTGAATACAGCATGAGTTGCATTAAAAAATCTTTACATTAAAACATTTTACTGATGTTTAGACTGACATGCATTATGAAATCAGTGTTGTTGTACTATATTCTTTCCTGACATTTTCTTAGCAGAATTTATGCAATAATTATATGATATTTCATTTGCATGGATGAATGGGTGACACAATCTGATCTCTACCTCCCCATGCTTCCAAACCTTCAACTTTGCCTACCCTAGATATGATGTTATTGGTAGAGACTGTTGCTTTTGATATGAAAATATTAACAATTTACCATTTTCAAATGCAACATATCATAAACAGCCATATCATAAATTTATAAGCTGCAAAGGAATATCATTTCAGGCTACAGAAATAGCATCATAAAATTCTTGACTTTCTCCCTGTGCATCTCTATCTTTAGTTGCCACCTTTGCCATCCCTCAGGTCCCCATTGTGAGTTATTCCTGTGGTACTGCATCTATGTGTGCACAGGATAAGAGGGATGGAGTAAGTAGGTGTGAGCTGGCCCAGGGGTTTTTGGGCTGGGCCAGACCATCTGATAGTTTGGGGTCTCTGTTTTTGGGTACTTTGGGAAGGGCAATGGATAGGAAGATTAATTAAATAAAGTGGAAGGTGTCTAGCATACACCAATGAGATATGAACTCACATCATTATGGAAGAGAAATGTTAACTCCTGCTGCCTAATTGGGTTTGTTCTTTTTAAAATTCTGTTTACTTTAATTAGGTTTACTGCAGAATGGGAATCATGCTGAGCTTGAAAAAATCTCCTATTTCTCAAAACAATAAAATAAGACTGGCTCCCTTGGTGGTTCTCTGGTATTCTTTCACTCTACTCCTTATCCCCAATTATTTTCGACATTATTAGGAGACTTTTCTAGATGATCTAGGTTAAATGAAATTTGTGGTCAGATACTTGTTTGTTTCTTTGGAGTTGGGTCAACTAGGTGTAAACACTGTTTAACCAACCCCTGAAAAGAAACAGTATGGGGGTAAGTTTGTCCATTGAAGACCTCTTTATTCCACACCCAACAAAGGAATACCTGGCTTCTAGAAATTGTAGGTCAGTAATCTTGTTTTTCCCCTCATAATTATGCTCATGATTTCTAATTCTTTCTTTCTTTTTTTTAATGCCTTTATTTTTTCACAATATAGGATTTCTCCCCTGAGGTGTCATCACCACCAAAGTGCCACAGTCCTTCACCACACTCCTCTGTGCTCTCCTCCAGTCCTGTTGTCTGCACTCTCCCTCTCTCTTCCCTTTCTGCTCTCCTCTTGAGTGCATCAGATCTATGGTCTGCTTTCAAGGGTTGGTCTTACAGGTTTTCTTTGTCTGATCCTTTGGTTATTTTTTATGTATGGTGTAAGATAATGGCCTCATGTCTTTCTTTCATATGTGGTGTCCTGCTATTACATCACAATTTGTACCTCTGGGGTACAGGCCAGAGGTGCTGGGGTGCTGAGGATTCACCAGAGACAGAGCAGGGAACAGAAGAGGCAGACTGACTGAAATACACTGCTGAGGGGAGCAGTGGGTATGGCAGGAGAGGTCTGCTGTGCCATGTGGGTAGCTCCCTGGCCAGGGAGCCGGGGATTGAACTTGTGCTGCAGAGGCTGCAGATAGCTTCACAGTGCTGTGCTTAACCCCTTGCACCATCAGGGAAGTCCTATTGCAACACAATTTGTTTAAGAGAATTTCCTTTCTTCATTGTATATATTCTTGACTTATATGTCATGGACTAACCATCTGTATGTTTGTGGTTTTATATCTGAACTCTCAATTTGGTTTCATTGATCTGTGTGTCTATTTTTGTTTCAATACTGTAATATTTTTGAATATTTGCTCTATTTCTTTGAAGAATGTTACTGAAACTTTGATAGAGATTGCAATTGAATTTATATATTGCTCTGGGTAAAATGGCATTTGAACAATATTAATTGTTCCAGTCTTTTTCTTTGTCTTCTATTTATTTTAAGAATGTCTTATGATTTTCATTGTACAGGTCCTTCACCTCCTTTGTTTGGCTTATTCCTAAGTATTTGATTCATTTTGAGCTAAGTGTAAATGATATTGTTTTCTTAATTTCTTTCCTTTAGGTCCCATTGTTTGTTAATAGGAACACAACTGATTTTTGTATATTACTTTTGTAACTTGTCACTTCACTGCACTAATTTACTATTTTAATTGTCAGTGGAGTCTTTAGGATTTTCAATGTAAATTATCATGCCATCTGCATAGTGATAGTTTTACTTTTTTCCAATTTGGATTCCTTTTATATCTTTCTTTTGCCAAATTGTTCTAGCTAGACTTCCAATTCTGTGCTTAATAGTACTGGTAAAAGTGGATATCCTTGTATTATTCCTGATCTTAAAGGAAAAGCTTTCACCTTTTCACCTTTAAGTATGATTTTAATTGTGGGTTTTGATATATATGATCTTTATTATGTTGACGTATGTCACTTCTATCCCCATTTTATAATCATAAATTGGTCTTGAACTTTATAAAATGCCTTTTTATTGTCTATTCATATGACCATGTGATTTTTACACTTTCTCTTGTTGAGCAAGTTATTATACATTAATCAATTTGCAAATTTTTAACCATCCTTATATTGTTGGAATAACTCTTACTTGGTTATGATACTTGATTTCTTCAGTGTATGGTTGAATTTGGTTTGCTTTGATTTTGTGGGCACAAAGAGTCATGGTTGTGGACTATGTATGTTTTGGCTCTAGGAACATTATAGTAATAGCACCAGAGGGAGAGTCCAATACTTTCAAAATATAGATAACAATGGAAACCAGTGTTGCCACAATATATTTAAAAAAAATATTTATGCATACAGGATTGGGGTGTAGGCCAGAGGTGGTGGGGGAAGGGGATTCACCAAGGACAGAGTGGGGAGCAGAACAGGTGGATCTACTGAAATACACTGCTGAGGAGAACAGTAGGGGAGACATGACAGGCCTGCTGCACCATGTGAGTTAGTTCCCTGGTTGGGGAACAAAAGCACAGGGCAGGGCTGGGAGAGGGAAGATTAGGGTCAAAATAAGGGGAGGTGCAATTGTATGGGGAATATAACCACAATGAAAATGCATACAGTGTGCAAAAATGAAAAATGATGTAAGAATTATATAAAATAAAATATTAAAAAAAAGAAATGTAAAAAAAAACTTTTAAGCAATAAAACTTAATTTAGTTTAAAAAATTAAGTTTAAACTTAATTGAGCAATAGCTTAATAGTGCTGAGACAACCTGCTCAGTGGCCCATCCTGCCACTATAGTTAGATTTATTTGAGCTCCTTCTTGTTTCTAGATGTAAGTCTATGTTGCTATATGCATCTCTCTTAGAACTATGCTTCTTGCATCCTATAGATGATAGCTGCTAATCTCTTCATTTTCACTTGTATTCAGGTGTTTTTTTTTTTTCAGTTTTCCTTTGACTTCCTCTTTAACCTAATAATCTTTCAGTAGTTATTCAATTTCCACATGTTAGAGTTTTTTCCACCTTTCTTTTTGTTTTTGATTTCTAGCTTGATACCATTATGGTCAGAGAAATACTTGATATGATTTCAGTGTTCATGAATTTATTGACATTTGTTTTGTGCCCCAAGATGTGATCTGTCCTCTAGAATGTTTCTTGTATATTTTAATAGAATGTGTATTCATGTATTCAATTTTTTTTGATTTAGTGGCCTATAATGTCTATTAATCCCTTGGTGTGTAATATATATTTTAAGGCTGTTATTTGCTTATTGATTTTCTGTCTGGTTGATCTGTCCATTGATAAAAGTGGGGTTTTGAATACTCCTACTGTTATTGTTCATCAGCCACTCATTGAATATTCAATCCATATTATTTCATATCAACCATATTAATATACTGTTAATATTCTCTATTGTCTATTTTTACTTTCATATCATTTATTTGTTTATCATTTATTATCATATCAATTATTTATGTAATTCTCTATTAATGGGTAATGACTAGCTGAGACTCTAAAGCCTCATTTTTTTCTCCTCACAGGTATAAAAAGATCATTGCTATACCTTATGCAAGCAGCTGCTGATGAATTTCTGTCAAAATCCAATAAAGATAGCATCATTTGGATGCAGGACAGGAATGACCTTCTTTCTCTATGTTCTGTTTTGAAAAAACTCATTTCCATAATTGGCTACAGTGTTGTCTATAAATATTATGCAAACTACCCTGAGTCTTTATAATACAAGTTAGGTTAGAATGAGAAATGAATAGCAGTGGCTCTAAAGACAAGCAATCCTTTGGGTAGGAATTTCTCCAACATGCTCCTGGAGCATTATAGCATGTGTTAGGGTTTATGAATTAAGGAAAGGTAGGGCAGAACCTCTTCTTTAACCAGATCTCTTTATTTTTATTCCTTTCTAACTCTAGGGTGGATGGCAAGAGAAGGGAAAGTATAGGAAAATGTGAAATATATTATGCATGATTAGCTGTATGAGACCCCTAATAAAGAAGAGGCTGTAAATGCCTCCTAATAAAGAAGGCATCCTGAAACTAGTATATCCAGGTGAGGCTCTTAATACTCACTCTCAACATTTGCCCCTATACAATCTCTGTCTCCTTCTCCTGTGGTTATTAGAATAATTTTTTTTTTTTTTACCAGGGATAACTATATGAGCTAACTTAAGCATGTCTGCCTTCTGTGGCTTCCCATTGGGACACTGGAACTCGCATCTTCACCTCAATAATGGGCAACAGCTAGGCGGTTTGCCCTTTTCTTTCTTTCTCTGTTGTTACCATGGGAAGCTCTAGCTGCCTTAGTATCTTCGGGTAAGAGACAAGCATCCATTTTCCTGTTCTCAAATCAACGCACATGTCAGGAGTCACATATCACATTTTTTTCAAGAATACATTCTCTAGATTCTAATCTTGGTGGTCACACAGATAGTGCTCTGGGTTTGTGGGAAAAAGGGAGGTGGGAACAAAGGTAGAAGGGCGCACAGTGATCTATGGTAAAAGACTATGTGTTTTCTTGTGGTGGGATTGGTGTGGTGACATACATCTGAGAAGGTGTGAATCCATTCCCCTGTATCATATAAAGGGTTGTAAACCAATGTTACCTCAATAAAGGGGGAAAAAAGGAATGATAGTTCTTATTAATATACAAGAAACTGTGATAAGTGCTTTATATTTATTTCCTCTTTTAATCCTCACAACAATTACCCAGTTTTATAGGTGAAGAAACTGGTTAAATATTAGTGATAGAGGCAGATTTGAAACCAGACAGTCTGAATTTCGAACTCTGTCTCCAAGAGTATAGATTTCTAGGAGTTTTTAGTAAAGACAGGTGAACTCCCTTACCCAGTAAATTTAAGCAAGACAATGGCTCACTAATTACAACTGACTTTCAAATAACATGCTGGCTTTATAATTTGAGATTATTCCATTGAGGGAGGGAAGAAGAGACACCAATAAACTTGTGTTAAAATAAGAATTGGGTGATGTGGAAGAAAAGTGCCAGTGATATTTTTACTTATTTTTCTACTTGAACTTTAGGATCTTAAAGAGGAGGGACAGATTAAAATTCAATATAGGGGAAGCAAATAAGGGATCAGGAAAAAATAATAACAAATTAAAAAAACCTGAATTTTCAGGCAACTATAAACCAGAGATATTCTGCAGGGGAGAGGAGGAAGAGGGATCAAAACAGGGAGGGAAGAGCACATGAGACTATGGTGATGGTTCATGGGTGAGTTGGTGGTGGGAATTTTATGATACACCTGAGAGGATAAAGCAAACATTGTAAAAAAAAATGAACAATGATGTTATATATATATATAGATATGTAAATATTAAAAAAAAAACTTAAAAAAGGGATACTGTATCATTTAGGATTAGTTTGGCTCCTAGGAACCTAAAGCTGTAGTAGCTTAAAAGGATAGAAACTCATTTCTGTCTCCTGTTAGGATCTGAAGGTGGATATTTCACATTTGGTTTGGCCTGTGCTCTACAAAGTTCTCATGGACTCAACTCTGTTTGAGGTTTTGCTGCATATAGACAGTATTGTCAGGTTTTCATTATTGGGTCAGTATGGCTGCTTCAGTTCCAGCAATCACATCTATATTCCAGTCATCAAGAACAAAGAGGGGAATAAGATACACATATTTGTTCCTACTTTCCTCATCCAAAATTAGTTAGACAGCCATACCTAGCTATAGTGACCATTTACAAATGCAAAGTCTAGTCTAAATATCTCTAGTTCTACCTAAAATTTGGGAGATTTATATTGGTAAATGAAAAGGAGGTAAATGCATATTGAAGTGTATTTGGTAAATTTTGCCACATATATGAAACCAAATTGAAATAGAAAAGAGTAACAGAAACCTGTAGTAATTATGTCAGGAAGGGAAACACCTAGAATAATCTGAGACATATAGAAAATGCTAACAAAACTTTAGCCTTTGTTTGAAATTGTTTTAGTATAGTAGAAAAACAGGAAAGCGACAAATAGTTCTCGGTTGGAGAAAATTCTAACATTGTACATGATAGAAAAATAGTAGAATTAGGTCCTTGTTTTGTCCTTACCCCCTCTACCAAAAATAATTGGTATGCTAGAAAGAGGAGAACATGATGGTGAGAAAATGAAACGCCAAACAGGACAGAACCTTGATTTAGTCTCTCACTGTTATTACCTCATCATCCTCTAAAAGTTATTCCTCTTGATTGACTCACATTTTCTCCCTCACTCTTCAATCATGTAAAGAAGACAACTTAATTACTCCCACAAATTATTTCTTTAAATATTAGTATGCCTCTGCTTAAAAACATATTGTTTTTTGGTTCTCTGTAATTTACAGAATTAAGTCCAGACTATTTTACCATGGCACATAAGACCCTCATGGTATGCCCTTGAACTTTTCCTTCATCTCATCTCTGTTCTTTTCATGCTTTTTAAACTCCAGTTTTGCCAAACTTTTCAGTTTCTTGAACATTGGATTTACTGATACTTTTGTGAAAATGCTCATCTTTGCCTGGAGAATCCATGGATAGTCCTTAAGACTCAACATTTCTCCACATTTTTTAAAGTCAAAAAGGTGGATAGTTTCTTCCTTGTGTCAACTTGGCATTCTGTACATATTTCTATTATAGCATATGTCATGTTGCAAGTAAATATGTATTTATTTACCTTTCTTTCTCTCCCACTAAACTCTGAGTTCCTCAAGGGAAACAATTTTATTTTATTTTATATTTTTTAAGGGAAACAATTTTAAACATATTGCTCAACACTTAGTGATTGTTCAAATGTTTATTGACTGATTGATGAGATCATGCAGATGGTCTAAATTAATTTAAGTCCATAGGGTCAAGTAAAATACATACACACAAGAGTAGGAAAAAAATTCCTTATATGATTTAGGAGCATATTGTCAGGTATTTTGGAGGAATTTAAATAGTAGCAGTAGTGTCAAAAGCTGTCGATAAGCAATATTCCAATTTTCATAAAAAGTTTAAAAGTATACCTAGAAATCATAGTCACAAACTTGAGGTCATACATGATTGTTGAACAGATTATTAAACAGATGGTTTGTGAGCACTTTAGGAAAAATACTGAAGAGTATATTTTTATCACTTTGTTTTAACCTTGCCTACGATCATAAAAAATTAGAGGCAGATATCGATTCCTTTGAATTTGTGAAGGTTTTCTTAAGACAAGTAAAATTATGTGAAACTTTTCTTATGTCCTGCAAACATACTGACTGAGATAGTGGCTATGTATTCTGTATGACATTTGTTGATATCTTTCATGTACTCTCTTGAGATTTTATGTGAATCAGATGATACATTTGAGTGTTTAAGACTAAAACTCTATGCCACAGTTTCCCTAATTTCAAATATTTGCTTGATATTTTTTGTCATATTCATATCCCAGCTCTCTGTAGTTAATTTTTTCCTTTAAATCACTTTATTTTATTTAAATTTAGCCTCATCCTAAATGAAAATATCTGTAATCTAACAGATTTGTTATGAACTAGGGATATATTTTCTAATAGACCTCTAATAAATACATAATGATGAACAAAAATAATGGCCTATGTATCATCTGAATGCAACTGATATATACTTTTGTAACATTGTGTGCTGTAATAATTATTTAAAATATAGGGGTTTAAGCTAATTCAGAATTCCATTAAGTAGATTGATAAATTCATATCAAATTGAAGGGTGTTTCAGTAACAAGTTGCAGGGCTCTGATTTTAGTCTTGACAATTTTATTAGTTACCAAAGATGCAGGAGTTAAATGGGTTCAACTGGAAGTAATGTAAGCTGGAAGGGATAACTGATATGCTGGATGATAAAACTAAAATTTAAAAAAAAATTTTTTTATTATAAATTTTATTTTTATATTCCCCATACAATTTCGACCCCCTTATTTTGACCCCAATCCCTCCCTTCCCTGCCCCCCACCCCCCATAGAGTGTCTCTGGTTCATAGTTGTTTGTTGATTTTGATTTTTACTTTCTTATAGTTATTCTTTTTCCTGGTCCCTTATTTAAGTTTTCTAGATTCCTGCTATGAGTGAGACCATCTGGTATTTTTCTTTTTCTTTCTGGCTTATTTCGCTGGGCATGATCCCTTCCAGAGCCATCCATGTTGCTGCAAATTGCATGTGTTTATCTTTTTTGAATGCTGAGTAATATTCCATGGTGTATATGTACTACATCTTCTTGATCCAGTCATCTATTTTTGGGCATTTGGGTTAAAACTAAAGATTTTTGACAGGTTTGATTATAGGCAAATAAATAGGAAAATGATAGTAATTAATATAGAGAATTCACAATTAAATTAAGATTTAAAAATGCTCACATATAGAAAGGGAAAGCTTTGGCAAAAATAATAAGAGTTTCAGTTAACAAACTCATTAGAAGCAGAAAATTTAATATACGGCTCTAGAAAGTAAATACAAACTTAGATTTCAGTAATAATATAATCAAGAAAGTGCTTTAAAATGAAATATACAAGTTAAAAGAGTTAAATATTCTGCTGATTAATCAAACTACATCTTGAATATTATGTTTAGTACTAGGATATTATCCAGGAAAATCATAGAAGATCCTCTCATATAAAAGATAATCAGAGGAAATGGACATGGTAAATCTAAAGAAAAAAATTCTAAATTTGGAAAGAGAATTACTTTTAAATACAATATTGGAAAATTTTCAAAAAGAACAAACATTTTATTTGTTCTATATCATTTTTTTTTATTTTTTATTTTTTAAAGATTTATTTAGTATACATACAAGCACTGGGTACAGTCAGAAGAGCGGGAGGGTGAGAGAATTCACCAGAGCCAGAGCGGGGAGCAGAGCAGGCAGAAGGACAGAAGCACACTGCTGAGGGGAGCAGCGGGCGGCAGGAGAGGTCTATGCACCATGTGGGACCCTCCTCTGGTGGCCAGGGAGCAGCAGGGGATCGAACCAGCGCTGCAGAGGCTGCGGGCAGCTTCACAACCAGGCGCTCAACTGCTGTGCCACTGGGGAGGCTGTGTTCTGTATCATTTTAGTATGCAGTTTTGCCTTCAATTCAATAAAAATTTAAAAAAGTTAGCAATAAGGAATGCTTCCTCACAGGAAAGAACAAGCTACCAAGATTGCTGTATTGTACAATGTGTTCTGATTGTTACATTATGTGAGTGTGTGTGTTTATGTGTACCCACATACAAATTGACAGAGAGGTGATCTTTATCTTTTTGTTTGATTTTAACTTTTACAGTAATCACATGTCATCAGAAAATGTTTCCAATTTGAAAAGTAAAAGTTACAGTTATTCATAAAGGGCAGCGTTTGGAGGAGATTCTTATGTCTGTCACTTAATATCC